AGAAGCTAAGGTAGGTTATAAAATTATATATATACCTGTTGCAGTTGCAGTCGTCGCCACAGCTGCAGTTATCGCCACAACCACAACTTCTTTGTACCATTTTCGTTCTCAAAGAATGCTGGTTACGCTTCGCAAGAACGGTTGTAAGAGAATTTGAATTAAGAGAAATACAGTTGTATGTGATGAATGGAATGAATGAACATTGACATCTATTTATAGAATGTTTGAGGCATTATAAAAATGTGTAACATCACAATCATACACGTCTAATGTTAGATTATGGTATTTAACTAACTAATCATGTAAAGATTGTCAACTGTACAATATGTCAACATCAGCAATATTGTGTTGCAAATTAAAGGTACGGTTTTGTATGATTATTTCTCCACTACTTGAAGTGTGAAAAAGCTCATAAAGCTAAGGTATCATTTATCAAGCGGTTGTTTGATTGTTGGATATGATATCGTTTTACAATAATAATTCTGAACATACATCCACGATAAATATAGTACATGTGATTATTAACTGTTGACAGTGGGAATATATAAACCACCCTACTACTGTCGTTCACTCGTTCCGTCTAATTAAAAAATGGAGCATGTCCAAAAAACACTGATTTTACAAGTTTTTAAAAAGGTTTTTAAGAAATGTTCTTTTTACATGTTAAATCATTAATTAATTAGCTAAATATTGTAATCCCTCATATTTGAGATTAAAAGCAAAATACTTGAAATAATAAATACCTTATGAATATACGAGTATTATTTTTCAAATCTAATGAAAGTCAACATTGAATAATTCTAGCTTAATAAAAACAGCATGAAGAAGGGCTTCTTTGCAAGTTGACATCGAATAATTAAAACTATAGATAAATTCACTTTAAAGATAAGAAGTAAGACCTCTTCGTATGAATCGTATCTCCTAATAGTGGATTAGTGGAATCACATTATTTATTTTTGTAGTAAGATTTGGTAATAAACGAAATACATGTTTTTTTTTTTTTAATGAGAGCAATAATTCAAAATCATAATCAAGTAAAGCTACTACTACCTTCGTTTTTTTTAGTTGCAATAAAGGGGTATTATTTGTGAGACATGAAGTATTATTAAAAAATAATCTAATAATGCTATATAAGGTTTACTAGAATAGTAGAATGGCATCTTTCAAACAGAGAAAAAAAAAAAAAAAAAATAGTAGAATGGTATTGCATTTTTAATGCCATCTATGTTCTTTCATTATATCCAGCCCAATCTAAAAAAGGCCAGATTTGATCCAGGCCCAATTAATACGAGGCCCAGTTTCTAAATGAGCTGGTTATGGACTATTTTGGATCAAATATTTTCCTGGACAATCTGAAATTTATGGTTGCAAATAATTTGCTATCATCAGCCTATCACCACTTAGATACGTAGTAGATAAAATCTTTTAACATTTTTTTTTGTGATTTTTTTGTCAACATTTAACTAAACAATTAGTCTCTTCCGCAATATTTTGTGGATAAAGCTCGATATCCAAATTATGAGGAAATCTAGCCTTCAATTTGTCATAGTAGACACTTTTCAAAGGTTTAGCCTTTAGACTGAAGGTGATGATTTTGTTCTCTTATGTAGAAGAAAATGAGAAATTTGATAAGGAACAAAATTTGATGTTATAATGAGTCATATTTGATATTGTACTTATCTTTTGTTTTTCATTGTGATTTTTTAGCAATTATATTACCATTGGTATACAAAAAATAAACTACTCTTTTTGCCAGAATGGTAATAAAATAACATCTAATCAAAATTAGATTTACCAAAATTATGTTGAAGGTCCAATTAGTTGAAATCTGATCGAAATTGGCCCTTAATTCACATTATCACATGTTGCGTACATGATCTTTGCTATAATATACATTTTAAATAGTTAATCAAACGATATCGACATATACCATTACATGCATCATACACGTTGGCATATCATGATATACGTACTACACGTGTCAATTGGACCATGCTCTATGCTATAATGATTGTCCTACCAATGAAGAAACTAGATATTTCAACACACATTGCCTTACTACCACAAACTACAAAGGCATATAGAACAATCCCTTTTCTCATTCTTTCCTACAAACCACATAACTTTTCACTCTTCATTTCTTCACTCACTTCCCTCTCTTCTAAAACCAAAACTTTTCCAAAACAACAAAAAAATTCATTTCAATGGCTCTCAATCTATCCCTATCTCATCAATCATGGACATCTGCAGCTAATCCCATCACCTCATCGGATCCTACCCGTTGCTCGGCCCCCGGAAGCCGGTTGCCGAGACGGGTCGAATTTGTTGGGAGTTATCATAAGAGTAAAGGGGTTTTTGTGAAGAGGAAAGATAGAATGAGAGGTCAAGTAAGAGCAAGTTTAGAAGCAGTTGGTACCCAAGAAGTGGAAGCCATAATTGGGAAGGTGACCCAAGTTAATAAGGACACTTTCTGGCCTATTGTTAATGCTGCTGGTGACAAAACTGTTGTTCTTGATATGTACACTCAATGGTAAATACAATTACTCAAAATTTATTTATTAGTATTCTTTTTCAATTTTTTGGTTAGAATTTTCTATTTCTACTATTTGTTTTTGATTGCTTATGTTAGTTGTTTGTTTGGCTTTGTTTTTGTTATCGACTTGATTTTACTAGAATGTACCCGTGCGAATGATATATCCTTAACGGCGGATAAAGATCTTATATGTATTGAGGTTTTGAAGACCCCTTTGGACTATTTTTCCACACAAGATAGGATTAGTTGCTCTTTTTTATTAGCATTCAATGAGTTTTCAATCTTTTAGTTGTGCCACATACCTTTCACACCCGAGTTCGAGGATGGTAATGTGAAATGTTGTTTTGAAACTTGGGATTGTTCAAAGCAATCTTATTCAAGAGACTTATAGCTAAAAAGCCTTAAATCAATTAAATGAGTAACTGAAATTGGTGATCCTACAAATGCAAACTTTGGTGGAGTTTCTTGAAATATGGATTGAAGTAGCTTGATTGCAACCTAGCAGTTTTATTGCCCCCCTCTTTCGCGGTATACTTGAGAGCACTGCCCTGCTTAAGAATCTTGTTACTGTGATTATTGGCCTAGGCAGGCTGCTTCTTTGATTCTGTGTTGTTATGTATATATTCCGAATTTCTCTGGATTGTCGAAGCTAGACCAACTTTGGATCATATTTATGTGGCTATGTAGCTTATGTTGCATCCCTTAACTTATGAAAATAGTATGATTATGTGATATTTCCCAGTTAAAATCACAGCACGTGTCATGTAATCTATGAGTTTAAAACTAACAGTTCTGTTGAGAATAAAACTGCTGATACATTCAGTAAGAATGTATGCAATTGCATTAGTGCATCATTTGCCGTGAAATTTCTAAACAAGTTGTACATGGTACGATGGTACACCAGTTGGCTACTTCCAGTCTTCCACTTCCTGCTATTGTTATGAAATTGTTGCGATCTAATCTTCAGATCGTATCCTAGTTGGTTTTTATAGAAATGACTTGCTACAGGGTAAATCATCCATCTTCCAAATTCCACACTGTCATGACTTGAAATTGTTGTGAACTTGTAAACCTTCGAGTGGGCATTGTGCTTGAATACAGAGATCGATTTGTGCTGCCTATAGTTCGTATATTGTGATTGTTGTCCTTCAGTGTTAGTACTCTAATGATACCAATATACCATTAGTTCTAACTCAATTTTTACAAACTCTGAAGGTGTGGTCCATGTAAAGCAATGGCTCCAAAGTACGAAAAGTTAGCAGAGGAATATCTTGATTGCATTTTTCTGAAGCTTGATTGTAATCAGGAAAACAAGGTACATACCTTATAACTATGTTTAGTCTAAGCTTCTATTATCTGTCAATGTCTCAAAGAGAATTAGAATGATGATGTGATTTTTGTAAACATGGGCAGTCCTTGGCTAAGGAATTGGGTATTCGAGTAGTTCCTACTTTCAAGATTCTAAAGGAAGGCAAGATTGTGGAAGAAGTGACGGGGGCCAAATATGATGCATTGGTAGCAGCCATTCAAACTGTTCGAAGTAGCTGAACAAACACTCTAGTGTGCGTGTGTATATATGCTGTAAGATCGTCCTTGCAACTGACTCAGGAAGTGGGAAATGTGACATCATCAACAATGGCTTGTACTAAGTTGTAACCACTGTCTGCTGAGAAACTTGTATGAACAAGAGCTGTAATTGTATATTTTTATGAAGTAAAGGAAATTTGAGCGCTCTACTAGAAGCAGTTCCTTGTTAAATTTCTGTTCTTTTCATTGACATTCGTAGTGCAGTTGTGCTTGCTTGCCCTGGGCTAGTATAATCGCCGCCATTGCCACCCCCTTGGTAGGATAGTGAGCATTCTGCTTAATCTCTAATGTACTAATGGAATGGGTTCAAGACATAATTACAGAGTATTTTAGACAAAAGAGCTTGATTCTGGAGCTCAAAAATCCGAAATTTCAAGGCCAATTGAGTAGCTCAAACTTAGTTTCAAAAAGAGATTTGCTTCCAACTAGGCATACTCTTGATTAACCTAATTCATATGGAGTGTCGTCCAAAATTGGAAGATTGCCTAAGCATCTTCAATTTCAACACTGAAAATAGTGACTTAAAAATAAGATTCCTTTACTAATGTTCTAGGAACGTTGAAATGTTTCAAAAAGATAGTTTTTAACAAAAAAATCTTACGGAGTACTGCATTTTTTTGAGGTCAACATGGGGTATTGACAAGTCAAATTGTTACGAATATCCAGGACCGTAAGAAATAGATGGATTTTTTCATTTATAGAAGTGATATAATTATATAAAAATGACCAAATAAAATACTCGTAAGTGTTATAGTTATTTAAAAACGGGTGGAGTAGTTTGATTCATCGGGTTTGGGCTTGGCCCATCATTTTATAGGGTCCATGAGCCATCCTTTGGGAAGTTTGACCCACACCCACACCCACCCAATGTCCAAAGGATTACAAAGAAATCAAAAATGTGAAAAATCCCATCATCTCCTCAATCTCTCACCACAAGAGACACAATACCAGAAATAAACTCACATACACAAAACTGATTAAACAGCTTTTGGGAGTGTGGAACCAATTTTACTCGATCAAATTATTCACTCTTCCCAAAAGCTTAATAATTTCTTCCTTCATTTTTCATAATAATTTCTGGGTTTTTTTATTTTAATTTTTTGGGAAGCTTTGATAATGGCTACAAAAGCTCCACCAATCACAGGTTTACGCCTAGCTGCCTCCGCGCCATCTACAACAAGCGCTGCTTCTCACAAGCTTTCTGTTGTTAGAGTTTCTTTAAGGTCTTCCTTTTTTGGTAACAATGGTAACTTACCCACCTCCAATTTTCCCTTCAATTGTTATTTAATTTGATTTATATGCAAATTTTGGCTAAAGTATTGATTACCCACCTTCAATTTTCTGTTTAATTTGATTTTTATGCAAAGTTTAGCTTCTGGGTATATTGGGGTACTGTCAAAATTTCATTTTTTGGGTGTTTTGTGATAATTTGTTATGCTTTTTGAATTAGTAATTTGTGTTTGGGGTTTGATTAATTTGGTTTGATACCTATTTCATGAATTAAATTATTGCATTGATGGTAATGCTTGATAGTTTATTGTGGTAAATTCGATGGATGAAGCTGAATTTGTGGTTTCTGATGGAGTAAATGTTTAATTTTGTTAGTGTTAGCTCCTGATTAGATACATATTACATTGCTTGCAGTTGGAGCATTGAGATTGAGTGGAGTTCAATTACTACATTCCAATAAGTCTAGGTGTAACGGCCTCGGTGGAGGTTCCCTTGGTTCACAAATGAACCTCTTTGATCGATTTGCTAGAGTTGTTAAGGTTTGAGTTTGAAGTTACTTTTTTTGCAGAAGTCGAATTTCCTTGCTTTTGTATCACTTTATCTTGTTGATTGATGACATTTTCCTAATGGGTTGTCATCTTTATTGGACTTAGTCATATGCAAACTCGATTCTAAGCAGTTTTGAGGATCCAGAGAAAATTCTGGAACAAACTGTTCTTGAAATGAATGAAGATTTGACGAAAATGCGCCAGTCAACGGCGCAGGTACAGTGCTCTCTTCTTAAGTTGCTAGTATAAGTGGATGTTACATTTCTAAATTCTCACCTTGCTTTATTTTCCCATTTGGTTAAGTGTTTTATACCTTTCCATTTTTATGAAGGTATTGGCATCTCAAAAGCAACTGGAAAATAAGTGTAAAGCCGCACAGCAAGCTTCAGAAGATTGGTAAGCTGTTTATGGGGCTGAATTTGTATGCACTGTCAGTTCACTCAGTTGCTGCTTGCTTACCCTTTTTTTTTTTTTTTTTTTTTTTTTTTTTTTTTTTTTTTTTTTTCCCTTTTTTCCTAACTGATTTGTCTTTCATGGGCTAAAAGGTATAAAAGGGCACAACTTGCACTGAGCAAAGGGGATGAAGACCTTGCTCGTGAAGCTTTGAAGAGGCGGAAATCTTATGCTGTAAGTTTCATTTATCTTGCAGACCATCTTTCTTTTTGATTCGGCTTTCCCCTTTTGTTTTCTACACCTATGCTGATGTTTGTGTATTAGAGGAGGTGAATTGATTTCTCCAATAACATTAATATCTCCTCTCTCCCTACTCCCCGTACCCCCACCCCCAGCCCTCAAAGAATTGAATTTTACGTCTCAAGGAGACAGGGAGGTGGAAGCACTGGTATGTGAAGATTTTCTTCAGTGGTAATCAATAATTCAATGACTAAAGCTGGGCTAGCTGTTGTGATTGTCATTCTGCATTTTCTTTCCAGCTGAAACTATTTAAATCTGATATGATATCATTACTTCCTCTATCTTGTTGATATTGTTGAAAGAACCCATCTGGGTATTTGCCTTTTTGAATATCACTTTTTAAACACCAATTGGGTGGGGAAATATTCTGACTCTCACTTCCAAACTGAAGATCCAATGTTAACCCTCATTTTCTTCCAAGGTGCATTTTAGTACCAAATCTCAATTATACAATCTTGTTGTGCACTTTTTAAGACAAAGTATCCCTTGATTAGTACATTAATTGCTTATTCTTATCAAGTGTATTTAGTCAACTTAGGGCCCCTCATTATGTACAGGGGTAATTTTTAATCGGTGTAGATTAAGTCATACTTATGCAGGGGATATTATACAATGTAACCCTGTGTTCGACACCGTCATCAGCTATGCCATGTCTTTTTAGGTAATGTAGGTCTTCTAAGATTTGTCTTCCCACTATGAAGTACAGAACACTTAATGGTGGAGTGTGGAGGAAATCTCAAAATATTTTGCCTTATTAGCAAAGAATAAGCTCTATTTAGTCTAATAACATTTTTTTTTACAAGGTAGGATTATATTAATAGTGTTCTTACTCTTAAAAGTTTAAGAATGGTGATTTTCCAGCATAACTCTGGTCATGTTGCTTGAAGTTGCCTTTTTCAGCCATAGCTCCCTACCCATGAGCCATTTCTCATATACTTATTTGTGCCTGATTATTCTCCTGATTCCTGAAGTCTAAGCATGAATATTGGCAGGGTCATCTGCCATACTTGTGTCTGATTGTTCTCCTGAAATCTAGGCATGAATATTGGCAGGTTCATCTGCCAGTGAGAAGTGTTTTATTTGTAGTTTTCCTGGCTTTTGATGGGCAAGGTTGTGCAATATGAAATGGTGACATATAGATTGTGGCCTATCGAATGTCCCTCCATATTCTTGCTTTTTTTTTGTTTCCAAGCTTTGAAATCATGTTGTTTGCAAGCTTACGGTATCTTTTACAAGTATATTGGAGCTGAAGAATTTAGGGCTTTTTATTTAGAAAAAGGAATTAAAAGAAAGAGATATAGATATGGAAAATGAAGCTAATTTATACAGCTGCAAAGAATGTATACACATGTGTAGAGGTATTTTATTATTTTGACCTTTTTCCAGTGACATATTACTCTTTCAATATGGAAAATGGTAGCCTTATTATTTGTAGAAGTATAAATGGCCCCTTTGAGTCAATTTGATCTGTCCTGCTGTCCTTCGGATGTACTAAATTCGATGCTTGTTGCTATTATCTTGCCTAAATCAATTGAAGCTTCAAGAATGATAATTCCTTTCTCACTTATCTATACACTCTTACCATTTGCAGGATAATGCTAGTGCTTTGAGGGCTCAGCTTGATCAGCAAAAGAATGTTGTTGAATCTCTTGTCTCAAATACTAAGGTGTGCTGTTATGGCTCATGTAACATGCTTCATTGTCAGTGTCTTCTGTGTTATAGATATATAATTAATTTTCCACTTTTTGATGACTTGATAGCACTTATATGAGGTTTGCCCTGTGGCCATAGTGTTATTTTGGTTGCGCAATGAGAGATTGAATATATAGTGTCGATTGTTATACCTGCATGCTTAAATAATGCTCATTGATACGTGGAAGACTTTGGTTAAGATATCTTGTTTAATACTCTTTTCTTGCTGAGTATTGGTGTTCCTTCCTCAACATTTACCTCTGACATCACCTTTTATGTGGAACTCCTGAAGGACATGAATTGATACTTGAGCAATAATATAACTGTGTGAAGGTTGATTATTTCTGTTCTTTGGAACAGGCCTGGCAGGATGAGGAGTCCTTTTAGCCTATTTAATCTCTCTTTTGGTTGGGGAACCATCACCTTGGGACTTGGGAGGGTATACTAATATACCATGATGGTTTGGGTGGAACCTTTTCTATCAATGATGCTCCTTTTCCATTCTGCTGGTTGTCTTAGTACCGTAATACCGGTTATAATTTAAGCCCTTAAATGGCTTGTTGCTATTGCATAAATGTTCTAGTTGGTTAGTAATTTGATTGCTTCATTGATGGGTTGTCTAACTGATCAAGTCTATTGCTACTGGAAGATAATGTAAGAATTTTTATTGGATTGCCTTCCTTCCGTGGCAGCTCTTGGAAAGCAAAATACAGGAGGCAAAATCAAAGAAAGACACTCTCAAAGCACGTGCTCAATCTGCAAGGTTTTGCATCTGTACCCTTTCTGTCATTAGTATCAGTGGAATTTTTTTTTTTTTTTTTCTCAAAGAACATGTTCAGTTTGCAAAGGTTTAACTTTTTTTTTTTTTTGGGCCTGGTAGTGTATCTTAGTAAGTTTTAAATTCATCTTTGGTTTTCCAGGACTGCTACTAAAGTAAGTGAGATGGTGGGAAAAGTGAATACAAGCGGTGCTCTTGCCGCTTTTGAGAAAATGGAAGAAAAAGGCAAGCTTTATTTCATTTCCCTTAATGATATTATATAGGTCTATTGTGCATTGTATCTATTGTGTAGATTACATGTTTACTTGGGGTGTCATTATTATTTATCATTAGTTCCCTTAATTGAAGACAGCTCTTATTTCTAGGTCCAAGTTCTTGTGCCTTGTGCCCGTCTCATAAGATGTATGGAGTCAAATTTGAGACACCATAATCTAGTTTAAGCTAATATGTACATTTTCATTAGATACTGATAAGTTGACCGAATATAAAGAGGTTTCAAAATGAAGTATGCTGAAGAGATTGAGTATATATTCATCTTGCCTGCAATGATATCTGATGTATATCCACAAGCAATCTTTATTATTGTGACTCATCATAGTTTATTGATGTTACTACCCCGCGTAATTTGCTTTGGGGTAAAGTGGCTTTGCTAGCTTCTTTAAAGGCTGAACCAGTTGGGGCTTTCCCAAGTTATTTTCTTGGGAGATATAGAAGAATTGGGCTAATCTGTAGTTTTTTTGGATCCTTAGTGAGAGAAACCTAAGTCCCTTTGTGATAATTTATAGAACATTTATAGAACATTAATTCTTATTATTTTTAATTTTAAAAAAACAATGATTAATAATTATCATGCAGTTAATGTTTATTTTGTGCCTTGTGACTTATGGCCTTCTTTTAATACAGTAATGGCTATGGAATCAGAAGCAGATGCACTTAATCAGTTAACCAGTGATGATCTTGAAGGGAAGGTAGGCCTTCAACCCCCCCCACCCCCCCCCCCCCCCTCTCTCTTCCGGAGTGTAAAATCTTATGGATAATTGTTGATCTAAATAGAAAAATCAAGGTGATTCACACATGCATCTCCACACACACGTGTTATGAACTCGTGCAGTACTCTTTTACCTCACATAACAATCTTAGGAATGGTTTGTGAGAGTGAGAGATTAACTAAACTGAAATTTCTTACAATAGCTGTAGTTTATTAATTATTACCTGAGCACTTCGCTTTGTTTATTGTCAGTTTGCGTTACTGGAAGGCACTTCTGTTGATGAGGACTTGGCTAGCTTGAAGAATGAATTATCTGGGAGCTCAAAGGTATACTAATGCATGGATCTCTTGTTTTATCATCACATATTCATGTTGGTGCTAGTTAAATCTTATCTTCCTATCAAAGATCATAATAAATGATTAGTAAAGAGAGGATCATTGTCAAGAATAAGCATGCAGCGAATTTCTAATCATGCCCCCCCGGTCCCTAAACAGTAGGTCACATTTTGAAGGAATTGAGTTAAACTTCCTTAACTATCCTTCACTAGCTGAAAATTTATATTTCCACAATACCAATATAGTCCTACGTTTGAATTCTTTGTTAAGGCTATCATTAAGGGTACAAACTTTTGGAAGTTCCCTATTATTTTGGGACGATAAGTAAGATTATTTGCTGGTTAACAACAAACTAAGCCTATAATTTGGCTAGACACTTCTACTTGTGGTTTCATGTGATCCATGTCAGACTTATGTTCAAGAATTGTATGGGTAACTGTCAAGTAGTTCATTCAGTGTTCCAGTTTATTTATTCCTGTATTGATTTTTGAGGAGGATTTTGATTTTTCCCTTTTTATTTTTTTGAATGACGTTTAACAGAAAGGAGAACTCCCTCCAGGGAGAACAGTGGTTGCCAAATCACCCTTTAGAGATATGGAAATCGAGTCAGAGCTGAATGAGCTCCGAAGAAGAGCCAGCGATTATTAGATATTGATTTATACGAAGTAGTTTTCATCATTTTCTCTGTGTAAATTATTTCTCAATCTAAGCCAAATCACGTTTTTTGTAATGCTCACACATTGTTAAGCTTACAATCTAGGAAGAGATGCAATTTACAATACAAGCTTGTGAAATACAAGTAATCATTGACCTTTGTAAATGCAAAGTATTCCCGGTGCTTTTAATGTACGCTCATCTTTGTTTATCAAGTTTATAAATCTTGGTGTATTTTCTGAAAATCAGATCGTGGATGCAATTTAAATTTCTGAAAATCATAACACGAGTACATTAGAACAACACCTTTCGAAGAATCCTCATGTTATGCTGTTATGGTATGTAATTGTGATTTATACGAGTATAGGTAAATAAACATAGTCTTGTAATCTTGCAAGGTGTTATCTTACCTTAATTTAAAATTTTTTTAAAAAAAAACAAACAAATAAACAAACACGGTGTTATTAGATTATCACACAATATATATTTGCATAATTGTAAATTAATATTTTTTACTTAATTTTTTTTACGAAACTAAAATTATTTTTACAAAATATTGATCTAAGGTGAGCATGGCCTAAATGTATTTAAATAACAAATATAAATAATTCTACCTCTATTTCTAAATGATTGACACATTTGACTTTTTTCACTATTTATATACTAACTTTAACAATCGTTTTTTGGTATAAAAACAAATTATATCATGAGATATACACTTGTAGTTAAATAGAGTAGGTATTAATATAAAGTTTTATAAAAACAAATTATGTTATGAGATATATACTTTTAGTTAAATAGGTATTAATATAAAATTTCATAATATCATCTTTTTAATAATTTTTACTAATATTTAATCATATGTCAATTATTAAGGAATAGAGGGAGCTAAAATATTGATGTATTAATTATGTGTCAAGTTTGTTTATGTCAGTTATTTAGGAATAGAAGGAGTAAAAAAAAAAAAAAAAAACTCTATTTTGCATTCTAAAGAGAAAATATCCAATATTGCCCAAATACATTCTCTTTCTCCCCAACACACAAAAATCCCCACAACAAAAATGGCCTCAATTCCACTCCTACGCCTCTCTCTCCTCCCCACCGCCGCAACCACCACCACTCACCACCGCAAACCCATCGGATTCCGGCCACTCTCTCTCCTCTTCCACCCTCTCAAACCCTCCCCAATTACCAAAATCAACTTCCCAATTACCACCCAAAAACCCAAAACCCTAAAACCCCAAAAATCAACCATAACAATGTCAACAACCCCAGCAACAGACCGCTTAATCTCCTCCATTTCTTACTTTCTTCCCTTCATCAATGGTCTCCATTACGGCCGCTTCCTCTTCGCTCAATACCCACCTCTCTCTCATCTCTTCCAACCCCTTTTACCCTTTTTCTCTCTCTACAAATCCATCCCTTATGCTAGTTTCGTCTCCTTCTTTGCGCTCTATCTTGGGGTTGTCAGAAACCCTAGTTTCTCAAGCTATGTTCGATTCAACGCAATGCAAGCTCTTGTTCTTGATGTTCTTCTTGTTCTTCCTTTGCTTTTGCAGCGGATTTTTACTCCTGGAAAAGGGTTAGGGTTTAAGATTATGGTAATGGGTCATAATTTTTTGTTTGTGTTTATTGTTTCTTGTTTTGTTTATGGGGTTGTTTCTTCTATTTTGGGTAGGACTCCTTATTTGCCCATTGTTGCTGATGCTGCTGGTAGACAAATGTAGTCTTCAATTGGGGTTTTGATCAATTGAGATAAATTGAAGTTTTTGTTTTTTTTGTGGGTAGATTTGATTGGAAGAATTAGATTACTAGTGATGTAATTTGTATTTTGTAATGATTTAATGAAATTGGAGAAATTTTGATAAAGAATCTCACATTGTTGTGTTTTTCTCATCATTTTAGCAGGTATGATTATATAATCAATGTCATCTTTGTTCAGAATTATTTAATGACACTATTTGAATGTAATTTAGCAACTAAATTGTGATGAAAGAAGGCTGAAATTTAGACTTGACGAAAATTTATACAATTTGAACTAGTTATTTGGCAACTAAATTCTGATGAAAGAGGCTGAAATTGTCAAAAATTAATCCAATTTGAACTGGTTATTGTGATGAAAGAAGGCTGAAATGTAGAGTTGTCAACAATTAATCCAAGTTGAAATGGTTATTTGGCAACTAAATTGTGATGAAAGAAGGCTGAAATTGTCGAAAATTAAACCAGTTATATGGCAACTAAATTGAGATGAAAGAAGGCTGAAATTTAAGAGTTATCGAAAATGAATTAAAGTTTTGAGACTAATGAAGGGTAGCCTTAAAAGTTAGAACATGATTTTATAGTTGGATTTAAGAGGTCAACCTTGTCCAATTTCCCAATTCATGAATGATTAAATTTGTCAGGAACTTGTTTGCCTATTGCATCAATTGCAGAATAGCAGGATTACGTTCAATTAGGCAATCCACAAAGGTGATTAATAAAACTAAGGTCTGTCTAGTTAGATTGTTGGCTGGCTTGCATGATCAAAGAACAATTTGATAATTTTGCCAATATTGAGATAAAATCAATATTTATATGAGATTAACTTACCAAAAAAAAAAATTATTTGAAAGCAACTACCAAAAATTTAGTATTTAATTACAGTTTTAGAAAGCCCTACAATTATTATGTGCCTTTATTTAGGAAGTCAACAACCAAGAGGAAGCCCCTGCTATCACAATGATTAGGCACTTGTTTCACAAAGCAATGAATGTGTCAAGTGGAAGATTAGAACACTTGCATATCCATCCATTCACAAAACTCAGCAAAAACATAAAAGACGAAAAATAGAATATACTGTAGTAAAATGAAAAATAAGTCACAAAGGAGAGGTTAAGCAGAGTATCCCATCTAAACATAACCAAGATTTTCTTTTCATACATCCTAAGCTATTACACGGGAAAATTACCGTACTCTTACTTCGATTAACAAAAGAAGCATCTCATTCTTTCGACAAACCAACCTGAGAAAGACACGCAAAGTCCACAACCTGAATACTCCCGAGTACTTTGTCTCAAAGAAAAAAGATGGAAAGAAAAACAACATAGTTGTACGCAGCAAGAGTAAACTTGTTCATGATGAGAATGCAGTGCATGAAGCTCTAGTATCGATCTCGGTCATGACGCCTGCAAGCCAAAAACAAACACAAGCTTAAGAGCAGGTATGACAAACTAATTGCCTCTGGTCAGAACAACGACCAGCAGAAGTGGCAAAAGGAAGCACAGCAGATTTTGGAATCACTATATGTACCCAGTGTTTCCTTATACGGAGTAGATTATATACTGGCAATACTGCAACAATATAGAAACTCACTGCTCTAAAAGTAACTAAACTTGCTGTATATTTATCTGACCTTCATGACTATCAATCAGATGTCAAAATCACCCAATGCAATATACATTAATCAAATAGGACTTTAAATACCTGTTACGATCATAATCACGGCCATAATCCCTGGAACGTTCTCTGGACCGTGAACGAGACCTTCGGCGACTTCTTGAATCATGACTGCGGGAACGCTCCCTATCTCTTTCACGTTCACGGTCATAAACACGACCCCTGTCACTATGCCTATCACGGTCCCTGCTTCTCCGGTCATAATCCCTTTGTTGGCTATCACCTCTTTCTCTGTCCTTACTTGGCGCACGTTCAACTTCACGGCTGCGCTCTCTGGACCTACAAGATAATTTCAGATAAGGAAAAACTTTTAGGATATACTGCACAAGAAGAGATACCAAGAAGAAAGTTGATAGCAACAACGCATAAAAGAGTAAAATAATGTAAGGGAAGCCAGAAGACATCACCTTCTATCTTCTTCATGAACCTTGCGCTTTTTGTTCTTTTCTTCCTGAAAACATTAGTAATCCAATACAAAATTTATTCAAAAAAGCATTCAGGTCACTCAAATATCAAGATATCAACAAAATTTACAAGGGAAAAAATTTTGTATAATACAAACTCTAATAAATGTTTCAAATAGCATAACCCTTGATGGCCATAACTCCCCAAACAAAAAAAAAAATATCCAATTGAAACCAGGGGAAAAGATGAACGAAAGACGATCTATCAAGCAAAAAGTAATGCACAACAATCCAACACAGCATTTAAACATGGCACATAGACTCACATATAGCAATACCAGGATATGACAGGGAGTAAGTGGGACCCAGCAGTGAGTATTGCCAGATAATTAGAAACCTGACACCCACAGAATGTTGCAGACAGAAACCCCCAGGCGGTTTCTTAAAAGTAGATGTTTATGGCCGATAAAAAAGACCGGTCAAGTGCTTTGAAGAGTTTGACCAGATCATGAGATCACTGCTTTGTACATGTCCATCAAGTTCAACTTTTCCTTTAGTATGACAAGAGATGTACTAATGCAGAGCTCAATTCAGATACTACGTAAAAATAATAATAATAATAATACTTTAATAAAATATAACCCTTCCATTATACCTCTCCCCCCACCCTCCCCCCCCCCTGCTCCCTCTTCATTTACAGCATGAAAAAAAAAGTTCAGCATAAAGTCACTTACAAAATTTCAAGCTAGCTTCTTGCACACAGAGGAATAGGCTGATGTCAGATGTTAAGAAAAGCAAAACAGTACCTCGGATTCAAGGAAGATTTGAAAACCAAAAATCAACCTCCTTAATAGCTAACTAACCACGCATTAGATTTATAAAACCATTTCCAAAGCAATAAAAGTGTGATGTCTGATAGAAGTTGAACCGAAGCAGTCATAGACATATATCTCAAACCTAAGTTGGAGTACAGGTTAGAAAAACATTTACTAATTTATGTCCCCAGCCATAACCTGAGGCTCAAATTCTTTCCCTTTGTACCTTTTCTTCAAAATTCCATGGATTGGTCACCATTCTCTATCTCAAGCCCGGTTCGAACTCAAAGGTAAGCATAGATACCAAGTCAGAATAATAAATTGCAATAACCACTCTTCTAAGTAAAAGAAGAACTCACAGATGGCAAAACCGAGACCTTTTACAGAAGAACAATGTGATTACAGACCAGCACCTGGATCACATATTCACTTAGTCTTGAGAATTTCCCCATTGTCACAAATAAAAAAGAGCAATGCCAGCAAAATAATCAAATTCCAATATTTTAGAAATATACTTTGTTTACCTCCACCTACTAAGCCCAAATTAAAGAATATCATTTATGAGCAACAACTACAGGAAACCAAGTAGATAACATTTAAAAATAATACAGTAGATAAAATCAGGACCCTGCAGTCATCATCACCAATTCTAATGCACACCATACTCATACCAAGAGAAAAATAAGAACACTGCCCAGGGTCGACTTACTCTTCTAAGCCACATAGTAACACATTATTCGAGCTTTACATAACATTTTAAAATGAAGCAAGCGTATGATTGGTACCTGAAGCTCAGCTAATTTCTCACGAATTTGCATGTAGCCCAAATGAAGCTTTCCCCCAAAATGATCTGCTAAACGACGATCACTGAAAACCACACGCAAATATCAAACTCATCCATTTGATAGCATTAAGTAGATTGTACCATAACTTAAACACTTCAAAGCACTCTGGCAAGTATCTAGCTAATAACAGCATGATCTACAAGCATAAAATAAAAGACGCACATTCTTTAGCTGGAAAAGTTATCCTCGTAAAACTGGGGCCAAAAGCCTGCTGGTGACAAGGAGGTATAATTACCAGTCAAAAGCTGAAGTACTTGAAACCCCAAAATAGTAATGCTTTGTCACCCTCATAAAATAGTCGGCAAAGAATTAACACATAGTTGATAACAGAGAAATGCAACCATTACCTATCATAAACACTTAAGAATGCTCCACAAATATCACAGACACGTAGCTTCTGATCAGTCTGCCAAAGCACAAAACAAAGGGTCAGGACATTGCATAGTTACTACAAATTTATTTTATAAATAATAATTAAAAAAAGAAAAAAGGTAATGCAAACATTATAATGGTAACAATTGAAATTGAATTGGTCAGTACCAAAGAAGAGGATTCATATTTCATGACAAAATGATTAGAAAAATGGATTATAGTGATCAAGTTGTTTAACATTATTTGATGTATTTCAAAAAGCTTGGGATAAGAAAGAAAACAAGGACCTGCAATCTGACACCGCTCTATAAGCCAACACATACGTTTCCCACACCAAACATTGACAACATAATCGAGGTGGCAGAAACTCAGCTGCCCACAGGTTTAGTATAAAAATTAATTTCCTACCTTGAAGCATCTCCTATTCTTTTCTGTCTATTTTATGAGAAGTTAAATAATTCTCAAGCACACCAATAAGACGAGACACTCCCTCACAAAACACAAGTTCTAAAGTCACAACAATAACTCACCCAGGCAAGCAAATCAAAGGAAAGATAGAGCAAAAAATAATAATCACATAGATTAAAAAAAGAAAAAGTTCAAAAGAAAAGGACTCACAATGCGAACATCAGCGGCAGTATACTTTGCTGGATCTGCTGAGGGGTCTGGCCTTGGTGCAAGCTGGAGCAACATGTCACAGATTCAGAAGAGAAGAAAAGTTAACAAGGATGGAATTATGACATTCAAAAGTAAAGCTGAGTGAAAAGAAAATTAAAGTACCCTCTTTAATGCTTCAGCTTCTTCTAATGCTTTCTGTGCTTCGTCAACCATCCCTTGCTCACCTGAACGATATACAAAGATTTCAGAACTTAAGAGTACCAAAGGAATCCACACCAAGTCACCAACACAACTTGTCACAAGAAAACAACCGCATCACAATAAAATGCCATAACCAGCCACAGACAAATGCCAATATTAAAAATATCTTACCTAGATCCTCTGCTTTCTTCAGTTTCTCGTTTATCAATTCTTGAGTACGAGCATCAGGAGCAAGCATAGGTAAAGGAGCCAATGGAGGAGGATTGGGAAGCGGCTGTGGTAGAGAGGCTCTGTCTTTGTTGAAAGCATCCAAAAGAAGCATGGACTGCAAGGGAAAAAAAAAATATATCATTCACCAATTTGACTGCAAACAATTTGCTCACCCCTCCCCAACAGATCTTTAGTTGGGATAGTAAATACAGTAAAATACACAGCAGCAAACCTGTTTATCAGCTCTTTTTGTCCTTAATTCTTCAACTTCTTCCAAAGCTCGGATTTTAAGATCTGTTTTGCCTTCAAGATCTGAAAACGTAATAATCCAGGACATGCATCAGTTAAATACTTAAGATAAGTTGCAATAGGCCACGCCTATGAAATTCATACACCATTAATGAACTAAATATATACTGTGTAACTTTAAAACCTAAAATCAGCCAAAAGCTCGCACCCCGTCTCTAGCTAAAGTCTACAATGCAAGCATACAAAAAATATCAACTAAAACAAGTAAAATTACAGAAAAAGTCTATCTAAGATGACCTAGGAGGTTTAACACCAAAAAGAGTAACCATGCTTCCTGAACAATATAACAACGTACCAGACTGGTCAGCTTCTTTCAACTTCTCTTTAATCTGCTTGGACAACTCTATGATCTCTTCTGTCTACAGCAAGTGACCAATATAAATTTTAAAACAATAAGCAAAACAATGGGGAAAAGGTTAATCTTTAAAACAAAGGCTTCATCGTTACCTGGGTAACATCAGACACGGAAATTGCAATAGCAGCTTTAGCATCCTCATCTGCAAGACGCTTGAGAGCTCTAGTAATTTTTCTGTCACATTCAACAATGAGCCTGTCTATGACATCCTCTAAATCCCTGTCGTAGTTATCAACGCCTTTGGCCTTTGCTTCTTCATATCTAATATGAATTAAGAACGAAACAGACGGTTCCAAGAAGTATTCTAAGAACATTTTTATTACTCCCTTGTATAGTTGCCAAAACTAGTTCCATTTGACAGGTCAAATTGTCACAATGCATGTAAAGAATCAGCAGAAAAGCTAAGTTCCATAAAGCACCAGGACAGCAGATTACAAACAACGAAATAGCCATAAAAAGTACGCTAAACAAGTAAACAAAAATTCAATGTAGAAAGTCTTGAAAATTTTCTTTTTTATATTAAGCTTGAAATGGGAAACAATGATCCAATGTTGGAAGTCTTCAAACTTTTTTTGTTAATTAAAAGAAAAAGAAACAGATTAGATAAAGAACATCATCAGAGTACTACTGTCTTGCCACCTAGCCATTAGTTACACATTTAAAAGAACCTGAGGAAAACATCTAAATATTTTTTTAGTGCAATATTCTCAATTAGTAAAACGGTCCAATCACCAAAAATAATCTCATCCAGAAAGGCACTATATTCATCTTCCAAACCAGAGACATCTATAAGATTGTAGAAACAGGGATAATAACTATAATTCATATCCCATAATAGCTATTCCAAGAATATAAAACACCCAAGAACTAGTTCTTTTAGTAATACATTTGTAGCCAATATCCAAACAGATGAAGCATGGAAGAATAACGAACAAAAGGATACTCTTTCCGTAATTGCAATGAATGCACCTTTGGACATGGCCCCATATCCATTTTCTGAAATAACAAAGCTTAGTTAGAAAAAAAAAATGTATAACCAAATCATATTAAAGGGCAAAATAATAGAATTAACTTAGTTACACACTAGTAAACATGCAACCAGTGCTAACTAATTCCCATATTCCACGTGAATTGCAATCTGAAAATGGTGAATTAATATGTGATAGTGTCACATTTAGCCCTAATTTAACAAAGTTAGGTAGTGAATTATACTCCCTTACCAAACCCCATATGGCAACTCAGTAACGCCTATAAACTAAAAAAAATAAACTAACCTATAACCTTGGCTGACATCGTATGCCACAACCATCTCTGAACAGACATCATAAAAATTGACCTATACCTCAATATGAGATTATGAGAACATTGATTGGAGGATGATCCTACGCCTTTGCATCAACAAAAGATGGGCGTTAAACCCACCCTTTTTTAGTGTATCCTATTTGTATTCTTCCTTTTGGGGGCAGAGGGTGGCTAAATGGCTCCACTGACACTTATAATGAAAGTTGTATGATCAAGTCACTGCATCATCGATAATTCGATATACATCCATGTATGGTACATAAGATAGATCAAAACAGACCAGAAACCTTCTTTTGTTCCTGGCTAATAGTAATAGCTCATACCCAAAACTACACCTAAAAACAAATTCTTGGTTCTCAAAATTACAACACTCAACACAAATCAAGCTCAGGCACTCCTTCCATCCATGTTATCGACCCGTTTCCCCGAAAACAATGTCACTAAAATTCCCCACATCACCCACACTCAAAACACTTTCATCTCACCTATTCAGTCACTAGTTCACTATCAAGTCAATCACACTAAATTTTTATGAAAAGAAAATCACAATTACACTTTTTAAGCTAACATGCAATCACATAATAAGCAAATTTTCATTGTTTAAAACACGAAATCAACATAAAAAAAAATTAAAAAAATAAAAAATGTTGAGTTAAAAGATTCAAACAATTCAGCCCAAAAATATACTAAAAAAGCTAATGCATTTGCACGCTAAAATTTCAGAGCAATTGAACAGATAAAAAAAAAACGACGAATTAGGGTTTGTTTGAATTAGTACCGTTAACTGGAAAAGTTCGTGAGGACAAAGACCAGACAAAAAGAGACGACAAACATCTCGATCGAAATACTTGCGATTAACTTCAGTAACATCTCCGTTACGATTAGCACCCATTAACACATCTAATTGCTTCCGAATCGCATCCATTTTCTCTCTCCTCTGAAAAAAGGAGCGAGTTCTTCAAATTAGGGTTTTTGGTTTTGAGGAGTTTGTGTTTCGAGGGGGAGAAGTGGGGGAAGATTCCGCACTTATGATGTGAGGAGTTTGACAAAAACTCAAAGATCTACACTTTTTTTTTTTACGCCGTATATAAGAGAGATTTACCTCGTATAAACTTAAAACCGAGTAGAAAGTCTCTTTTAAGATCTTGTTCTCTTCATCTTATCTTGCTTAAACTAAAATTACTTAACTAAATTCAAATTAATTTTACTAAATTGAAATAAGTTTAATAAATTTTCTGTTATATTTGTTGTTTGATGTTATTGATTTTTTATTATAAATTATTTTTATTGAAGTGAAATTAGTTTTACTAGTATCTTTAATAATCATAATAATAATAAGTAAGGAATATAAATTATAAAGTATACAAACAAAGTTGAGTTGTAATGATGTGGAAAAGATTAATGTGAAGTACTAATAATGTGCTAGCTAAGTTTTATGTTTATAACACAATAAGAGGAAGTTATTAACGAGACCCCGTGATGATCGCTTGTAGATGACTAACACATTCAAAGCTATCCCAAGTAGAGATGACATGGCAACACGAACTCAATGTTATTGAAAATTTGAGAGAAATTACGAAATTGAAACAACACAACACGAAACCAACCTAAACACGACCTGATTAGATAGGAGATTATGAGACCAAATACAAACACGACATGACTTTTTGCAGGCTATAATACTAAGTTCCTATACTCCATCTTGTGTATGGCTAAACACTTATAAAATAACCCCCAAAAGAGTTATTTGGTGTTCGAGGATCAATTTTGTATGGTTTAGCTCCAATCCCCTCCCGATTGTTGTTGCGGGGGATCAAACACGCGATCCTCCCTACCAAATGTAACCCCAATCACCACTACACCAACAACCAATTGGTATAATTTGTAAAGTTCCTTAACATACAAATACGAATGATCAATGTGTTTGGTTAAAGGCTTGAAGCTAGAGTAATTGGTACGGTAGCCGTGGTACCGATTTACTATATCTGTTTATATCATTGTCTTTGCGGCCCGTACGTACCCATCGGCCCGCCATCCCACGTCATTCAACATCCTCAGTCTCCTCACCCTCTCTCTCCGGCAACATCAAACCACCCCTTTTATACACAACAAGAAACTCTCTCACCTCCCCTGCTCTCCCACCATCACCAGCAACAATGAAGACTTCACTATCATTGTTCCTACTTCTCACCCTCTCATTCTCTCTCCTCTTTTCTCACTCTCTCTCCTTCCAATCCGACGAACTTCTTCTCGACGACGATGAATTCGAAGGACTTTCAAAGCAACAATCATCTGACATCCCACGATCCTCCACCCCTTCTCCTCCTACCACCGCTGCTATACCCACCACTACACGGCGGAGATCGTCGGATTCTGATATTGATTCTAAGCTTCAATTCAATGTTGAACATGCTTTCGGAGATTCCCAATTCTCCCATGCTGGAACTTTCTCTGCTCGTCTTAAATCCTGGTCTCATGGTGGTCAGGTTAGTTCATGATTTTTGTTTAAAACCCATTAATTTATTTTTTCTGGGTATTTTTGAATTGATTTTTTTGATGCAATCTGGGTGTTTTGGGTGGAGGAAATTGAATCCGACTTACGGGGTGTTGTAGGGTTTGATTGGTTTGAGGAGATGACTTTGATCATAATTTCTAGGGTTTTGATGATTGTATTGAGAATTTAGATTGAATTTAAATCTATGAATTGATCCTTTTGAGCAAATCTGGAATTCAAGGTTTTAATTAACTAAAGAAGTAGTATTGCTATTCTAGCTTTGATAGAATGTTGACTTTGAGGTCTGTAATGGCGAAAAATTGGCTTTGTAACTGAAAATACTCTGGATTTAGTAAAATTTTGTTTTCTTCTTAGAAAATAAGTTCAGATACCAATGCAATTAATACATTGGCTAAATTCTTATTGCAAGCTCAGGATCAAAATGTATAAAGAAATTCTAGTTCTTGAAGCTTCATAGCATTACGGTTGGTTGACATTATATTTTGATGGTAACAGACTCTAACCAAATTGCGGTTTTCGAGGAATACCTTGACAAGCTCAGAACAGGAGAAATTCAAGGTGAAAATTGATATTTAGCTTGTGCTCATTCTATACTTGTTCTCAATAGCTTATCTTATGGTTTTAATTTATCTATGTATATAGGAGCTGTTGCAAACAGATGATTTCTATAAAATAAGACTTCCATCCAACGTCTTGAGTCCTCCAGGAAGGAATTATACTGTTTCAGCTGTAAAGGCGGTAAGCTGCATTAAGCTACTTCCTTGTTATATCCCTTAGGTGTCTTGTTAAGAGAGTTGTCAATAACTCCAATTACTTTTGTTTGCAACTCCGTTTCTTTAGGTTAGGTCATAATTTCATGTGATTGTGCAGTGTATTTTGAGTCTTGAGGCTATATTTCTGTTTGATTATGACTGTTAGTTTATCTATTTCCACCTTGTAAGTTGTAAGTAGGGCCGTCCCTTAACAGATCTAATTAATTCTTATGTATCACTGTCTTGTTGCCTTTGCTATTATGTTTTGGTATTCTTAGTCTCTGTTGTCCCTGCTTATGTACTGCAAGCTGTGTTGTACTTTATTGGTGCTTATTGTGAAAGTATCAAGGATCCTGCTACAATGTATATTATGTTAAGGTTTGATTGATTCTTCCAGTCCAAATCAGAGCATTTTAGTAAAGTTCATGCTGTTGACTACCAGGTGCTTTTGCTATTATGCAATTGTTTTTCTTTGTATGCTAATCTATAGCTCTTTTGATGCAGAGATGTCTTGCTAGAGAGGCTTTGGATGAACACTTTGTCATACACATGGTATGAATCTACATATATTTATCTGATTTTCTTGTTGACCTTGTCATGTGATGTTAGTAGTGTTACCAAAGTTTGCTGCTGATTAATCTTTCTACTTTCTGTATTGTATGTAATTCTAGTCCCAGTTTTACTCAATTAAAAGATTCAGATGCTTCTGTTTTATGTAGTTTATTCATGGTGTATGCTTATAAATAGTTAAATCCTCTTTCTTTTATATTTGGTCTGTAGGAAGGAGTGAACATATTGGCTGTCAACTATGGTTCTTTTGGGGCATGCCCATATCCTCGGCAGCTAAAATTTGTAAGTTATTTCTTTATTTTTTTTTCTATCCTTTTTGTTAGTTTATTTTTCTCTAATCTGCCTTATTTTATTGTTCCTGGTGTTAGGTTTTCTTTTTTTTTTTTTTTTTTTTTTTTTTTTTTTTTTTTTTTTTTTTTTTTTGGGTAAGATTCCATGTTAAGAACAGATATTGTACGGATTCCTCAAACTTTGAGCTGAAAACTTGAATGAAAGTTAACTAATAAATACCCATTAACCACTCTACCCCCCCCCCCCCTTTTCCCTGCATGTGGTATAACTTACTCTTACATTCACATGAACTTCAATGACCTCTTTTTATGTACAGTCAGTTTATTGCATTTTATAAGAGGAGCATTGTTTCAATTTTGCAACTGTAGCAAGCTGGTGTTATTAGCCGTGTTACATGCCTTGTTAAGAGATTCCCAGAATGCTCACTGAATAAGGCCTTGTTCTTCTCAGCTTATTTCTGTGTAGTTTAACTTATTTCTGTGTAGTTTAACTTATTTTTGCTTAACTAGACTCATCGAATATATTTAGTCGAGGAGAACAAAGTGTATATTTTTTTTTTCTTTCTTGTTGGCTACTTTGTGATCTACAAGTTGCTTTTTGACTTTGTCTTTGAAGAACGAAACCAAAGTTGTGTAGAGTTTTTCCCAATCCTGCTTTGCTTGTATCCACTCAGGCACAGCTAGTTATATATTCTTCTTTCTCTAATTTTTTTTGACAAGCAATTGAATTCTAGATGTTAATGATTTTTCAGCCTTCCAAATGGTCTTTCAACTCACATTCAGTGTTGAAATACAGCGAACTGGCTCCAAGGTATGCCTATTTATTGCTCTCTTGTACTAGCTCCTATTCCTGGTTTAAAAGTCAAGCAGTTGGAAGTCCTGGGACAAAGATTTGAATATAGGTTTAATTTGTAGAATTAAATTTATCAAGCTTCCCGTTAACCCACTCACACATAAAAAAATGCAGAAAAGGTATACGGTGTTTTGTTGCTTATTAATAAGTGATACAATGCTAGGGTAAGGTATAAGGTATTTTGTTGCTTATTAATAAGTCAAAGAATGCCTAGGGAAATGGCACATCTCATTGCCCGTCAATTGTTTCTTATCATAAGTTCTTTCTTTTTGTTCATGGCATGGTTACTTTGCATTTTTATTGGCAAAGAGAGTAAGAAGTATGAGGTAGCAACCAGAAAAAAACTGTTAGTGAGTTTTCATGTCAGGAATTTCTTTGATCCAAATAATTGATCCTAGATCATGTTAACAAACCTCTGTGAATTCCTTTATATCTTTTGCTCAATACTTACTGCTCTGCCTCTTGCATATGCTCAATGCTGACCTTTGTTCAACAGAACTCCTGTTTTTGTTGAAGAGACTCCGGAGGAGACTGCAGAGGCTGAAGCAATGAATCAACCAGAGAAATCCTTTTGGGCAAAATATGTGAGTGATTATTTGAAAGAAGACTAGCCTTCCTTCCTGGTTAATACTTTTTGACCAAATATTCTTGAAATCTTTTGTTGCAGTGGATGTATTTGATCCCTCTAGGGCTGATGATTATGAATGGTATGACACAAGCTTTGAACGTGCCAGAGGAGGCCACTGGCCAAGCAGGAGGGGGGCAACAACCAGGAAGGCTTCCAAATGCAGCTGTACGAAGAAGATAGTCTATTATTGGAAGCTACTGATTACTTGAGGTTTCTTAAATCTTATTCCTAATCTTTTTAATCACATATCAGCTTAACAGCTGTGATATAGGGCTAACATTCTTTTGGTAATGGTTTAGTAGTATTAAGTTTAGTCCTTTACATACTTGTACTGTTCATGAACTATATACATTACCAGCATTTTTAGTCAATCAAAAGTCTCACTTGATTGTTAGTTCATGCGCATTGGGGGGCATGTATATTAGGGAAAGCTGGTATATTTACCTTCACAATATGGTTGTCACCCTACCTTGATCTACATGTTCTAGTAGTCTGCCTAAGGCCTTAAATTAGCTGTTTTAGGCACCTTTGAAAGTATATTTACCTTGATGGATATTATCATATGCTACTATGCAGAATTTTGTAAATAAGAATATCATACGTAGGCCCTATTTTCTGAAATTTCTCCAATCTTTTACAATCAGTCTAGGAAAGTCAGTTTTAGTCTGCAAAAATTAGTTTGGTGATGGATAGAATCAACACTACACTCTAGTATAATTAAAAAAACTCAGTTTAAGAAGACTCGGTAGAATTGAATAGGGCCTTTATGAAAATATGCAATGAGTTCGGACCAACTACCTTAACTCAACTTTAGTGATACTGATGTGTCTTCAGTTTCAAGGTTTACTAGAACCCTATGAGCCCAAATTTTAACTCATGATATCATTTTATTTTTTTATAAGTAATAACTATTTTGTATGTTCTTCTGCAGCTGTAATGGGCTTATGTGGTGCAACTAATCATTAACCAAGTTCCTTGAAGAAATCAGGAGGCTTTTGTCAAAGACCCTCAAGTTTTGTTGGAAAGCATATAGTCGATATAGACATATTTATGTCATTGGAAGTGTCTGGTTTCCGAGTCGCATAAAAAATTTGATTACTATGTAACTATGTGCATTTAGCCTTAGGAAGGAGGTCGATATGGCTCAAATTCTATATGATGATTATGTTTTGGTTGTGACTTTAGGTTCCATTTTAGCACTTGGCCTTTGTAACTTGGACCAAATTTGACTTGCTACTTCATAATTGTTTAGTCAATGAATTTTGTTTGCTCATTCCAAGTCTATATTCTTTGCTTCATTTTTTATGATGCTAATTCCTGTCAAGAATTTTCTTTGCAAATTTACATTTGATATATGTATGCATTGAATGGTATGATTGGCTCATTTGGTAGTTAGGATCATTGGCCCTCCACATCCTACAGTCGTGGGATCGACTCTTCATCTCGAGGGGATCGGAGTTAGTTTGTAATTTTGGTGCTCAGAATTGCAGCTTACTATGTACATTCCAAAAATCTTATTATAAGTAAGATTTTCAGGTTCACAAGTTGTAAGAATTTCATTTCATATAACCTAAAAATTTGGAAATACACTGATAATACATGATATGAAGTACATATATGCAGTTCATAGCTGATTCCTTTCTACATAAATAGCTTCAGGTATCTATTACTCGAAATAATGAGGAACTCAAAATCCATAAATGTTTCTGTTAACTGAAGATAATACATCTGCATTTGACAGGAAATACAACGACGAACAGATCAATCAATCAAAGCCTTAATTCAATAAATGGGGTCGGCTACATGAACCAAAAGTGGTTATGAAGCAGAATATCATAGTTAATGAGCATTTTTAATTACATGATTAATTATCTTACCTTTCTCTTCCATGGTCCCTTATATTTCGGGTTTGGTATTCTTGGAGGTTTCCATAACCCATCCTCATCCTCATCCCAATTAGGAGGCTATACAAACTACGTCAGATATCGAGCTTAGAGCGTCGTAAGTCGAGTCGAATTTAGAATTCGACGAGACAAGAAATCAAGCAAACCACAAGCTCAAGCTAAGCCGTAGCTTCGCATTGGCCTAGCCATGCGAAGTCTAGGCTAGCATAGGGCACCAACCGCATTGCATGGCTATGCCGCAAGCCAAGCATGCGTGTGCGTGCTAGGCTTGCTGGTCGAGCATGCTTGCGGGGCTGGTGCACCTAGCCGCACGCATGCTAGTAGCTGGCGTGCCATGCGTGCTAGTGTGCTGGGCCTCGAACCCAACCGCAAGCAACGTAGCAGCTAGGCTGCGCCTATCACGAGCATCGCATCAGCAGCAGCAGCACGCTATGCGTGCTTGTGCTATGGGCTATGCGTGCTTGCGTGCTGGGCAGCACCTAGCACAAGCATAAGCAACACAGCAGCAGCCCGCATGGCGTGCGTGGCCTGCTGACTGAGCGTAGGCTTGGCAGGCACAACCATGATGCTAGGCAGCCAAGGCATGCTACTAGCCAGCATGTGCATGGCCAGCTCATGCATGCATGGTGGGCACTCAGTTTTTGGAGGGTTGCTTGGGGAGCAAGGGGAGTTTGGTCCCCCGCCCCCTTGTGGTCCTCACCTAACCCCCTTGCTCACCTCTTGACACTTGGCGTTTGTTGATTCACTTGCATTTTCAATTTGATTTTGAATTAAAATAAATTGAATAACGTGCATTTTTACCAATTCTCCCACATTGATGGGAGATTGTAATTCAAGGCTCTTTTCCTTATAAATACCCTTCATTTGGAATTGGGAAGGGACACTTGAGTTGTGAATTTTAAGGAATCTCCAAGAAGAGAATACCTTAATTCTAATACTCTAAGTTTCTTGGTCTAGCCCCGACTAACCTTCGGGGTAAGGACTGTTCGGGTCGGGTCTCGAGGGTGAGAGCCATTGGAGGCTTATGCTTTTGCGGAGCTAACACTTTCAAGTACGAGCTATAAAAGGAGTGAAGCACGCGTCAAGGGTATGATCGTCTTTCTCTCTCTCTTAGTTAATTAATTATGTGATTGTTAATTAATATGCATGCTTAGTTACTTTAATTTGTGTGCTGATTTTGGGAGGGTTTTATTCCGCGTAGCGTTGGACACTACGAAACCCAACAGCGGTATCGGAGCCGCGCTCATTTAATTATTGTAACTAGTAATTAATTAAGGTGATTTAAAATGGATTTAAGTTTCTGGTTTTGCTTTCTAATTAGATTAGAAGCTCGTTTTTAATTAGTTTTAATCTCGTATTTATACTAATTTTGGCTCAATAACTCAAGTTTCGACCCAAGAATAGTGAATTTTGGGTGGAATCGATGTTCTAAATTGTTTTTTACCCTTTTTAAGGGCGTCGAGAAGCAAAAATCTACCAAGAAACATGTTTGTCGAGGGGTTTTTTGTTTTTGACGAAAAATTTTAAATCTTTAAACCTTGATTAATTATGGTATGTTAATGTTAGATTATGTGTATGGTACATCATTAATCTACTGCAATAATAACCCTTATTAAGCATGTTTATGAAGTCATATTTGGTGCTTAATTTGGTGAATTCATTTTTCACATAAACTTGTAATTTCATATTTTTGCAAATTAATTGCTTCAAGTGTGATTGTTTATGGTGAATTTGTAATTTTGAAGTCCCTAAAAGAGTTAAAGATCCAATCTTTAATTGTTTATTTGGTTGGAACTTAACTTTCTTAATTCCATATTGAACTAATATTGGATTTAATCATTTTTGAGTTGATTAAAGTCTTGAAAGTTCAAAACTTGTGACTGAAATTTAATTAATCTTCATATTGGAAATGTAATTTTTTCAAGTTTACACAAGTTAGTGTTGGGAAATTTATCATTGGATGATTGTGTTTATTTTTCCAACCCTTTTAATTTGTCAAATCTCATTATTAATTTATGTATGGTTAAATTAATTATGAGTATAATCCTTCAATTTTGTAGCATCAAGATGAACCAAAAATAATGTAAAGAATGGTTCTTGAATTGATTTTGGTTTGTGCACTAAAATTGAATTTATTTAAATTGGTCTTGATTTATTTTAATTTTTGTTCAAAATTGGTACTAAAATAAATTTAGAATTAATCTTAATATCACACATAAATTGGAATTAAATCTCGAGCTAAGAGCACGCAAATCGAGGCAAAGACCGCACAAGCACACCCTTCGGCTAGATGGGCTGCTCACGCAGCCCACATGTGGCTGCCAAGGTGCGTGTGTGGGCTGCCATGCTACGATGGTGCGCTAGTGAGTGATGTGTGCAAGCATGGTGCTGCGATGTGCGGCAGTGGGGCAGCAAGGCTTACGAGTGCTAGCAGGCCAACCACACACTGCCAGCGCCAGCAACATGCAAGCATGCGTATCATGCTGCGAGGCTGCTTGTGCCAGCATGCGTGGCATGCGCTGCTAGTTGGGCAAGCCAGCACCCACGCGCGCAATACCAAGGATTTTACCATAAAAAGTTTTACCTTGCGACTAAATTGAGTATTTGAACAGCAAGAAATCGATGGATCGAATCTTCTTGATAACCTCCAAAAACCATGAATCACAGGTATGTTTATAAATTCAATTGGAACTCTTTCTATGTCCTGATAAAAGTAAATGATATCATTCGATTAACAACCCAAAAACCACTGAACTTATTGGCTAACAGATCCAAAAGAGTAATGAGTTTGTTTGAAACTCTCACCAAATGTCACCAATATTTGTTTCACATAAATCATATCATCGAATGATTTGCACTGTATTATGTGATGACCAAGACCCACAAACAAATAATTGTGCAGTTTGTCGACTTCGATGCCCACCCAACCATTTTTGGCATAACAATCTTCATATGTCACTATAATATTATTAATAATTGTATTAAATTGGAAAAAAAGGGTACAATAACAAATAATAAAATATAATTTTACCAATGAAATTCAATAAATGGCCAAGACGTCGAACACTAGGAACCCCCAATTTTAATACTAATTGGCAGAAATCTGTCTCTGAATTGTTGAAATACTTGCCGTGAAAATTCCACTCTTTTTTCAATAAAGAGCATGGTTTACGATAATTATTCAAATTGACAAAGTATTTCTCCAAATAATAAATTTCATCTTCAACTAATTTCAATATCTGCTATATAACAAAAAAAAAAAAAAAACACGCATTAATTCCCATAAAAACCTAACAAAGATTTTACCTTAAAAGTTTTACCTTGCGACTTAATTGAGTATTTGAACAGCAAGAAATCGATGGATCGAATCTTCTTGATAACCTCCAAAGACCATGAATCACAGGTATGTTTATAAATTCAATTGGAACTCTCGAACTCTTCCAAATGTGATTATCAAGATAATGAGTACATGGCAACGAAAAACCCATTCGGTAACTCATCGCCATTTTTGAATGATAAAAGGAGTTCACAAAAGAAATTCAAAAGAGGTGTGTGAATAGTGGAAAAGTGTAAATAATGCAATTAAAATAACGGATAAAGTAATTAACAAATTACATGAAATTATTTATCAATTAACAAATTACATAAATATTTATAATTATAAAAACAAATGATGTATTCAACAAAAGTATTATCATTTTGCCCCAGGCCACCAAAATATTAGAAACGACTATGCCCATAATGCTCCTTAAATAATATAAGCTGCTCTTAAATACATTGACCCTGGAACGTCCTCTAGACTTTGAACGAGATCTTTGGTGACTTCTTAAATCAAGACTGCGGGAACGATCCCTATCTCTTTCACGATCATAACCACGATCTCTGTCACTATGTCTTTGGCTGTCTCTACGGTCATAATCTCTTGGTTGGCTATCACCTCTTTCTACGTCCTGATAAGATAAAAGTAAACGATATCGTTCGATTGAGAACCCAAAAACCACTGAACTTGTTGGCTAACAGATCCAAAAGAGTAATGAGTTTGTTCGAAACTCTCATCAAATGTCATCAATATTTGTTTCACATAAATCATATCATCGAATGATTTGCACTGTATTATGTGATGACCAAGACCCGCAAACAAATAATTGTGCAGTTTGTCGACTTCGATGCCCACCCAACCATTTTTGGCATAACAATCTTCATATGTCACTATAACATTATTAATACTTGTATTAAATTGGAAAAAAAAGGGTACAAAAACAAATAATAATATAACAAGACAAAATTAAATAATAAAATATAATTTTACCAATAAAATTCAACAAATGGCCAAGACGTCTGTAACACCCCCGATTTACTAACTAACAATAAACAAGAATTAAAGAAAAATAAACAACCTTTAAATAAAAACTATAGTTGACAAATTACGCCATATTAACATATTTAACTAAGAACATATATCCAAATTAAACGAGTGAATAGAGTTACTGTTACCATTAATCTATACAATTTTGTTGATTACTTAAACACACTACTCTATAACTCTGGTGTTTAACTTATACACATAACAAATAATTTGCAAAAAAATTTGAGTGAGTCGGACTCACGGTGAGTATAATATATCTGACAATAATAATCTAATATTTGACAATAATATTCTAATATATGATATTAATATTCTAATATTTGATATTATAATATTGACATAAAAAACAACAAGACAAATCTAAGCTAAGGAATATACCTTATGCAGAGTTGATCCTCTGTACTATGCTTTGCGTGCAGATGAGTAGTACAATCCCACATTAATGTTGTCTTGAAGAGGGAGCTTTGAGGTTTTTTTTATTTTTTTTTTTTAAAGGATCTCTGTTTTTTTTCTCTAAGAGTTCGGAAGAAATGATGAGGAAAGGATTTGGGGGGAAGGGATTTATTAAAAAGCAAGGGCCTTTATAATTCTCGCGCCAATGTCAATTAAAATGATGGCCTTTTCTTTTTTGAGGTAAACCAACCTAGCATTTTACTATTATTTTTTTTTATATAATGGAAATAACCGGTTCCAAGCAGTCACAACCGGATAAATTACCTTCGGCCAACTTTTCAGTATCTAACTTGCTTTGGCCAAAACGTGAGTACTCTACTTGCAACTTTCTCCAAACATCAATACTCTCCATTTTAGCATACTAGGGTATGGAGTATAGTGTATGTATATTGAAAATTCCTAATGTATAGTAGTCTTATGACTACCACAAATTTAAAAAATAGACGGGTGAGATTATATATTTTTTTATTTATTTTTAATTAGTAATTTTAACTAAAAATAATTTTTTAATTATTTTAAATATGTTATTATCTTCCAGAAATATTATTTAATATTTTCGAAATTTAGGAAATAAAAAAATTAAAATTTTTCTTTTTAATTTATTACTAATTAAAAATAAATAAATAAAAATAAAAATCTCAGCCGTTCATTTTAATCTGTACCCCTTACAAGTTACAAACACAGGCAATCCATCATAACCTAGGGCGGATCTTCTAAGGGGCAAGGCTGGGCTTGGCCCCCCTTAGATTTTAATCCAAAATTTTAAATTTATTATCTACTAGTATACTTAGTGTATTTGTCAATGTTACAAGTATGCAAGCATTTTTTAAATAATATTACTTGCATTTCTAACTATTAAATGTCATTCTATTTACTAGCTTATAATTCGTTGTAATTCATCTACAAATATACTTTGGATATATTTCACCTTAATTTGATAGTTTTTTTTTTTAAGACCTTAATTTGATAGGTTATGCAATTATAATATGTTTTATATTTTTGATCTTCATACTTTTCTTTATTGTAATGTTGTTAGAGATTTCATATATACTTGCTAATGCAACTTCTTAATCGTTAATTTTTTTTTTTTAGTTATACTTAGCTGTAGGTTGTAGCATATTCACCGTATATAAAGATGAATCAAATAAAACTCAACATCAAAATGTTTTTTTTTCCTACAATATAATTACTAAAGAAGGTCACAAAAATAATAAGTTTGTGTAAATAGTATAAAAATCTTCGGTTTTACAATTGAAAAAACGAGTCAACTATACGTACATATACTTTAGTACTTGTGGTCTATCTCTATAATCCCTTTGGTTTTTTTTTGTTTTGTTTTTTTAGTGCAGCTAGAGGTTTCAATTCAATTCAGGGGTTTGGGTTTTTGGTGAGATCAGGATGACTTGGGTCTAATTATTGTATGAGTCATGCTACATTTAATGTGTTCATACAAGTCAAAATCTAAATCTTTTTAGGTTGGTTTCGGGTCGAGTCGAACGGGTCACTTTTCGACACCTCTATGCTTCACTTGGATTTGCACAAGCGCCGAGACACAAGTTTGATCATCATTGTTTTTAATTAGGTATTAATAAAAATTATACATAAAAAGCATTATAATTAATCCAACAACATATTACTTCGTATATGATAACATTTATCAAACTTAAAATATGAATTTTTAGGTCTATCATTTCCCCCAATTATCAATTTATCAAACTTATAATACGAATTTTTAAACTAATGAAAAATCCTTTTGTTATACAGAGTACAGTATAATGTATTCTCTTCATTTCATTTTATTCGTCTCAATTGTCAATTTGTACGATTTTCAATTGATATAATCAAGTATTAATTTTTCACTTACGCATTATTAAAATATATTAAGTATTTAAATTTGATACTTTAAAAGAAAGACAACTTAATAAGATTTCACACATACATTTATCTTCTACGGAGTAATTATCAAAATTCTTCATAATCGTAGTTAAAGCTCTTAGATGAAGAGAGAAGAAGAAATGAAATTAGAGTTACAGTCCCTCAGTCCCTTTTTGTTTGCACCATAGGCCTATTCTTTATGAGAGCTTTTTAGGTCAAATGGTGCAAACAATAAGGCACGGAGAAAGTATATGTTAAGAGTAAATTGAAGCCCTGCTTAAGTGGTGAAGTCATGAGTATCATTTACTTTTAATAAAGTATGGTTGTTGGTTATAATAATTGACCTTAATAAGGTTCCAATAATTGACATTTTCACCCAATTGACTCAACATCCTGAAGATTATCCTGAAAGCCACCAGTAAACTTAACCTGCGATCACTTCATAAATTACAAAGTAGAGCTAAATGTCGCTTTGAAGCTCATTTATGTTGTAATTGCAATAAATTTCAAGGGAAGGAGACAAAAAATAGTACCACGGAGGCAACTATGCTAACCTAATGTCAGAAAAGTGTTGTAATATTAGACAATCGCAAGCATTGACAAAATTCTCAAGTATAATCAAGTGGCTCGGCTGAGATATTCTGAGCTTCAAGAGTTGGCCTCATTATTTTCTACAGCAATTGTAACACCAACTTCAGCAGGTCGTATGATCCTGTCGTAAAGCGTGTAGCCCGCCTGCATACACCAAAAAGAATTTACTTCACAGATAATCAAGGCAAGCTGATACAGATCGGAGCTAAATTTATTTCCTCCTAAGAACCAAGAAATTACATCACATCAAATAACATTCTTACATTATTTCTAAATCAGAGCACTGGACATTACCTTGAGGACAACAGCAACAGTACCAGGAGGCTTAGAATTGTCAGGAACTTGAAACACAGCATTATGCCTGTTAGGATCAAATTGATCATCGATAGATTCATATTTCTCAACACCAGCTTTTCTGAAAACCTGAAAGAATAACACTCTCTTAGCAAGAATATAATATGTGCAAGTGAAGTGGACACCAAAATTAATTGAATTCATACAATCATGTGATCAAGATCAGATCTACCAAAACTTTATGTGGCAAATGGAGAAACATGATACCAGTACATTCTACAGAGTCAGCAGTATAAAAATTACAAGTACACAGGTAAAATTTAAAGTAAGATTATAGGAGGTGGAGGGGGGTGGAAATCATGGAATAAAATTGAATTTACTAGGTGGTGACTACAATAAATTAAGTGTATGTTGGAAATATTACCTCTGCAAGCTGCTTTTCCGTCATTTCTACACCTTCCAGCAGGGTTTTCAAAAGTGGCATTGCTCCAACATTATCCTTAGAGACATCAATTTTATTGACACTCTCTCTGGTAACAGAAGCTGCTCTGCCAAGGTTGTCTGCAACATCTAGTAGATTCTTTGCAAAACTCTGCAGTATGAACACACGATGAGTCACAAAGTGTTCCAGAAGTGCTACTAGAGGAAATGAAGTATCCGAATCATAGACACAAACCTGCACTGCAAATTTCTTTGAGTTCTCTGCATCGCGTCGTGTTCTTTCCATTAAATTCTCTAATTCGGCATAACTACGAAGGAATTTGTCTTTAAATTCAGCAAACTCTTTTTGTTTGTTCTCCAGGATTTTCTCCTTCTCCCGCACAAGTTTTACCAGATCTTCGGAAAGGTCATCCATGTCTTCCTCGGAATCTGAATCAGAAAAGGCAGTTCTTTTAGTGCCTCGACTCTGTCTTTTGACAAACTGAGACGTAGGTTGTGATTCTGAAGTAGAACCTTTTTCCTGACTTTGTGCAGAAGTCTCACTGTCTGCATTAAATCCCTCACCTGATTGCTTTGCACCATCAGCACCACCATTATCTCCTTTCTCAGCAGGTATCCCCTGCTCTTGTTCAGGAGATGCAGTGGTTGACATTCCACGATGTGGGAAAGCAACAATACTACATAGTCCATTATGCAAAGGAGATCCCTAGCCAAAACATACAAAATAGCTTTATTTCGTAATTATAATATATATAGAGAGCCAAAGAAAAGATTACCATGCATTTCAAAAACAAAAGTAAATATGCAAATTCACCATCAATGTGCGTTTAGAGAGGTCCATATCAGACATAAAGGTTTAAACCTCTCAATTCTCACTTTAAAAACTAGCTACAATGGTGTTAGGGATAGGAGAAGCAGACTTCACATGTACAAATCACTGAATCAGATAGCAGTAGCACTACGATCATACATAAACACCTAAAATCCAATTCTCATGGCAGCACCATAATAACATAATCTACAAGTATACAACTCTACAGGCCACCACAGATTTTAATGATAATTGAGAAAAACCTCTTTTAAGAGATTCCAAAAACTTAAAAGCTCTCAAGTTGAATTCAGTAGTAAAGAATGTATTGTTACTTAAGTAATATACAAAATTTTGAAACAAGAAAGGCTGGAACACAGGTAGTGGTCACGTCTCCACAATGAATTCCCCAAAAATGCAATCTACAGTTATATTATAGATGTATGAATGGTGATGAAAGGCGTTAAAATTCTTAACAAGGTAAGATATCTTAAGAGAAATAACAACTTCCACCTTAGAAGGGAATGCCAGACGCTCAATACTTAAACTGTTTGATGGCAAACAACTGAAGACAACCTTAAGCGGCAAATCTAAAATCACTCTCATTTAGAACATGTAATAACTCATGTTTGAGTTTTCAATGCTACAAAGTCTAGCCAAAATCCAGGTATCAACCCTGTAAGAAATCAAAACACAGGCACCCATCTTCTGGAATAGACTTAATACCGTAAAAGACATAGGGGCAAGGAAGAGAACAAAGGTAATTCTGATCCTTACATGATTATGCTTATCACAAGGCGCACAAACTTACATTGAAGAACACAAAGTAAAGCAGAGAAGCTAAGAATGTAGAGTGTTATTACCAAATCTATAACATTAAAACCAAATTTGGCCGAAAAAGAATCACCGCAGCAACCCAACTGGATTATTCACTACCTTCTGGTGAATATTTTCCCTCAACAACGAAGAAATAAACTAATAGTCTAGGCACCAATAAGCAGGAAAATTTTCAATTTCCCTAGTAAACATTATATCCTTATGACCTTAATGTATAACTATGTTTTCCCTTCTCAAGTAATAACCCAACACAAGCTCCATTCTACGCTTAAGACGCCCAAATCCATGATACTAGTAGCTAAGTTTGATCAAAGAATTATCAACTCAGCAACTCCACTAGATTATTCACTACCAAGTAGCAATAAAAGGCAGAATGTCAACAAGAAAGAAAATCAATTTGTCAATAAAATAAAGGATTGGATCCCAAAATTCCCGGTCACAAAAGCAATTATGACCATGTAAAAAAGGGGGAAAAAAGTAATGGTAATGGGTAGCGTAATTTTTTG